GGGAATGTGGAGGTGGATCTGGAGGAGGAGAGAGGCAGAGCGGGTTAGACACGCTGATCTCCACTGTCCGGAAGAGGGAGCTGGGATTCCCATCTATAAATCAGCAAAGCCAGTCCCTGGAGAGAAAGGTCTGACTCCCTCTACTGCCCTGGGGACAGAGGCACTTGCTGAGAGGCCCAAACTCCAGCCGTCATGGAGCAGCCGGCGTGGAGGTGGATCTGGAGGAGGAGAGAGGCAGAGCGGGTTAGACACGCTGATCTCCACTGTCCGGAAGAGGGAGCTGGGATTCCCATCTATAAATCAGCAAAGCCAGTCCCTGGAGAGAAAGGTCTGACTCCCTCTACTGCCCTGGGGACAGAGGCACTTGCTGAGAGGCCCAAACTCCAGCCGTCATGGAGCAGCCGGCGTGGCAGGGGCCTTAAAGCCAGTGACAGGGGCACGGGGGCAAATCCGACTGACGCAGCTAATCCAGTGACTGACAGGGGGGCTCCACCCTGCCCCATGGGGGCTTTCCCTGTGTGTGCTGCTGCAGCAGGCCAAAGGGAGGGCAGGGGCCGGGGGGAGGCTGGGTGGCGCAAGAGAAGAGCCAGACCAGTACCTGCCGATAGGTGTCCTGATGATGCTCTTCATTCCTGGAATCGTAATACTGCTCAATGAAGCCAAAATACTCCTCCCGCTTGCGCTGCAGAGTCAGCTTCCTCCGCTCCTTGTTCGCCGGGAGATAGCCCTGCAGCAGAAGGCAGCTGGGCACCAGCCTGTCCCCTCCTGCCCCGCCCTGCCAGCAGCACCCAGCCTGTGTGCCAAGGAGGGGGAGGGGAGCTCTCCAGCTTCACTGCTCCCAGCACACACTGCGCAGTAACTTGCCTTCCTGCCCCCAGCAATCTGCCAGCCTCCAGCAGCTAGAGACAGGGCTGGGCGTGACTGTTTGCCCAATGCCCTGGGAAGCCGCAGGGAGACAGGAGCTCAGCTCAAGCAGCATGGCACGGAAGCGAGAGGAAAGGGGCTGACAGAAAGTGAACACACAGCACTCAACACAGGCTGACCGGGTAGCGGGGATGGGGAGCCAGAACTGGATTTTAACAGGGCTTTTCTTGCCCCCACTCTCGCCTGGTGCCCCTCAGGAATCACACAGTGGGGAGCCTGAAGGTTGGGAAGATGAGGTCTCTGCTCCCCAGTTTTGCTGCAGGCCTCCACGGCCACTGGAGAACCAGCAGCCTGGGATGGCTTGCAGGGAGGGCTGAAGCCTGACATGCTACAAGTCTGTCACTAACCCTCCCGCTTGGTCCAAAGTCAGAGATGCCAGGGAGGGAAATCTCGAGCATCCCCTCTTGTAGCCCAAGGCTGTGAGCAGCTGCACGCCAGCGCTCCCTCCAGCAACCCAAGCCAGCCAGGCTGGAGAGCCCTGCTCTTCCTCAAGGGAAGCAGCGGAGGAGAGAGGCTGTTTGGGCTGCAAAAAGCAGCCATTTTATAGCACGAAGGAGCAGCAAACAGGACATGCAAAACAAATAACGCTTTGTGAGCAACCTGTGGCAGGAGGGCCCACGTGGCCCACCGGGGTTCTGCATGTGGCCCATGGGACATTTTGTTTACCGCTGCCCACGTGCAGGGCTGCTCTCATCGGTGGGGCCTTCTCCCTCCTGGCATTACCAAAGGGACACACGAGGAGCCAGGGCCCGTGCAGGGAGCCAGGCGCTGCCTCTGCAGCCTATCGGAGCACGGCTACGGGTCGGTCGGCACAGCTTGGTGCGCCAGTGCCACAAGCCAGCTGCCCGGTCCCGGGAGAGCGGCTTGTTACGACCAGCTTGTGGTGGCTCTGAGATGGAGGAGCCCACTCACCAGCTGGCCCCTCGGCGTGGGGCTTTACCGGAGGGATCACCGCTCTGCATGCAGTCCCATGCACCAGCGTATGCCTCAATGGCTGGGTTCACTGGCTGGAGCCGCTCCCTGAGGTCCCCAGCGCCTGTCCTTCAGCAACTGGCCGTTCAGACTTGTCCTCGCTCCCTAGGTGCTGCTGTCTCCTCCTCACGCCCTTGGCTTGCTTCTCCCAGCAGGCAGAGCGGGAGCTCCCCATTTTTCAGCCAGTAAGCCACCCCGGGGGCATTCACCCCACCCAGAATCTGCCCCACACCTTTGGGAGTGAGGATTCTCTGTCGGCTAGTGTGTAGAGAGCACGCCCAGGAAAGGGCTCCGTGTGCAAGGTCCCACAATGAACCGGGCAGTCCCGTGTCTAGATGGTCACACGTGGCTCTGCCCCAGGGCCACGCACTCGGCACTCACCGACAGGAGTCGCCACGTCACGGGCCGGACCTCTCTGGGCACGCCAGGCCAGCTGCACTTCCTCAGCTCATCTGCAAACGGACAGTGGTTGCAATGGATTAGCTCCCTGGGCGTCCCGAAGGAGGTCCCCGGCTAGGCAGAACTACACCTAAAAGGAGAGGAAGCCCCAGTCTGCTCCTGCAGGCTCTGGACTCCCAGCCCTCAGGAAGGCTCCGTGTCAGCCGTGCTCACTGAGAACGGCAGCAGGGGACTGCAGCGGGGAAGCAGCGGATAAGGGCACAGAGCCGAGGCCAGCAGCCCTGGCTCTGTCCCACGGCCGATGGACACCGAAGTACTTCCCCACCCGTCCTGCCCCGCACTCACCCAGATCCGTGTTGTGGCTGGAGAGGAGCTGCCGGAACTTCTCCAGGCGCGTTTTCTCCCGCACGGTCATTGGGGGGGCCCCCGAGGCATTCTGGTCGGAGATGCGGGCGACAAGCGGAATGATGGGGCGGAGCGGGAGGGACTGCTGCTTGTGGAGGGCGCTCCGCACGCAGGCATCCTCTGCAAGAAGGGTTAGAGAGTTCGCGGATGCGCCGAGCAGAGGGGTGGGGAGTAGCGAAAGCACAGGAGTGCGGCTCAGGAGACGGAGGGTCTGGCGTGCATTCGCCTGCCGGTCTGTGCCTCAGTTTCCCCTCCTGCGTTACAGGGATAAATCCCTCCCTTGGAATTCATTCCCTCCCGTATACACAAGCGCTATGCCCTCCTCAGAGGGAAGAGAAGTGTCCCCCTGCGCTTAGAGGGAACGTAGCGTGAGTCAGAGCTCTGGGGTGCTACCTATCTGGTGTCCCATCTTCAACTCTGGCCAAATCTGATACTTCACAGGACTCAGACAAAGGGTCCCACAATACATGGGGGAAAACATCCCTGTCTGGCCCTGATCACCTGAGCATGCGACTTCGGGAACACGAGACAAACCACAAGAGACCTCCGGGCTGCCGAGCGACCCAACCCCGTACGCACCTGGCCAGCTCCCCCAGCAAACCAATTACCCATGCCCGGCCCAAGGGCTACGTCCCATCATTCAATTAACTGCCCACTTGCCTTCCCCCTCCCCGCCCCCACACGGGACAGCAGCAGCCGCTGCTCGGGAGCAGGAGCAGCTCTGGGAATTTCATAGTGCAACTGCCGAGGCACCAGGAGCGGGCCCCACCACAGGCTGGGCAGCGAGGGGGTGAAGCCAGGCCAGCTCCCGGCACCTGCTCTTCCATCAGCTCTCCTGGTATTTTCCTT